ACTGAGCAACGGCTAAAAACATTGGTGCTATCAGAACAGTTCCCAGGCTGAAAATCAAAAACACAGCACTGCACCGGCTACTAAGAAGGAGAAAAATGACTGCTACTGCTGAGCCCAGGACACAACTTTTCTGTATATATATTTCATTAGAAAAGAAAATTATCTTATTGTAGGAATCCATTGTATGTTCAAAAATTTGGCTAATAATACTGGACTGATAAGAGCAGGTCATGAAAAATTTTCAAATTTTTTTTTTTAAATTTTAAAAACATTTTCTAAATTTAGTGATTGACTTTTTACTTAAAAAGTAAAAATTAAAAAGTAAGATTGTTTGACAATGTAACACTCTGAAAATTTCACTTCTATTCTCATTGCACCACGTAAAACTAAGGCTTTTTTATTGCCTGATGCCAGGGGTCTTCATATGGAAAGAACAACAGAAAAAATATGTAAACATACAAGCACATAATTTTCAAAAATGCCCTGTCAAATTGTTTTTTAAACATAAACAAAAAAACACACAAAAAAAACAAACAAAAAAAAACCCCAAACCAAAAAACAAACAAACCAACCCACACCCACAATTTTTTTCTCATGTAAAAATTGTGTGTACATATTGTTTTCCACTACTAAATAAAAGCTACTGGTTTCGTCATATGTTTGCATGTCAGGTTCTTATAAAAATATTTTCTTGAGGAATTAAAATCCTGACAGCTGGCTTTCTCAGATTTCATAATTTTTCCTGCAGGTGCAAGGATTTCTAAAAGCACTATTGAACTTGAACAAAAATAGTGAAAGGCTTGAAACAATGTTTTTGTTACTTTCTATAAACATCAATAAAAAAATATATGTACTGAAATTGTAAGAAAGCATTACAGCTTTGGCAGTGTTTTATTTTTCCCTCTTAGAGTTGTTTTCCCTTCCTTTCAAAATTAAACTTTGGAGAGACATTTCTAAGGGAATTTTAAAATGTATTTACTTACCTTACATTTGCAGTGGAATAAAGGAACAAACTAAGCAGTATAATAATTGACAGTGCCTGGAAATAAACTGTTCATCTTTGCATTTGACTGGTTTAAAACTTGAAGCAAATAATGAGTAAAGGCCAGGAGATAGCTCTTGTCTTAATGTTAAACAACCAACCTCTTTTTCTTTAGATATCTGAAATCAGCCTTGCTAAAACTAAACACAGGAAAAATGACTTTTCTTTCCATCTTTTTATGAATGATCTTGAGCTACTCACTTTTTTGTAACTGTGATGACCTAAGGACATAGGTAGTCACATTTGCAGTTTATAATTCAGGATATAGTTGGGGCAAACCCCAACAAATGTTGCATCAGTTCACTAAGTAACAGAATATTATAATTGCAGCTACCTACACAATTAGACTAAGTGGGAACAAATGAATATAAAAATCATGTAAATGGTATTAAAAGAATATCTAAAAGTTAACCCAAGCAGATCACAAGGCAAAGAAGAAAAAAACATTAACAACATGTTCCTCATACCAAAGAGGAAGAAATTAGTACAAAATTTAATGACCTACATCCCTCATATTTTAAAGTCAATGTTTAGTGTGCTTCAGTTATTTTGCTGCACGTGAATTTTTGCAATGAAGAGAAAACCAACATGTTATACAGAAGAATGTCCTGCTGAACCCAGGACACTCACTCTTTTATCTTCAAATCATTCTTCACGATTGTTTTCTACTTGAACACTTCTAAAGCAGATGTCAGGTTACAACACTGAATATTGCCCTTGCATGGTAATTTTCTTCTGTAGGTGTTTGAAGATAAGAGCTGTTTGTTCACAATTATAATCACTGCAGAAGTCCTTGATTGAGACAGGGAAATTTCTAAGGGGTTACACATTTTCTAACAGGCTATGATAAATTCTATGCATGCTGAAGTCAAAGATTTTGTTTTCTAGATCTTTGGTGCATCTGTTAATGCTGTAGGATTATTTTGGAGTGACTACAGTAATTAAACCTGATTGTGTTATTATTTCTGAAAGAGATGATATAGCCTTTTAAGTACTTTTCCTTCATTACTGAATTGAATAAAGTATTTTGGAAGAGCTAGGATGCCTGCAGCAGGAACAATCCCCAGCTCTCAAAAACGCTGCTCTGCCTGGCCATGAGCCCCCTCAAGCTGAGCCCACCCACAGGATCATGACCTGCCGAATCCTAAGCCTGGCACAACCAGAGAAGGTGCTTGATGCCCAGCGCTGGGGCTGCCATGCTACCCTGCTCCTGGATGGGGGGTGGGATGGGACCTGGCTTCCAGGTCCTGCCCTGACACCCCATGTTAGGGAGCAACCCCACTCTTGCTGATGAAAATTCTTCCGAATATCAAGACAGGATGGAATCTCAAGAAGTATTACTGCATCAACCCAGGGATTATTCAGCCTACCTATAGTAACTGAAATAAATTAACCTGTAGATTGAATTATCACAGGTGGGGATATATTCTGCATTCTTCGAATTGAAAATCTATCAGAAGCCCACAAGAAAGATGTACACTTGGTTCCAATCTTCACTATCTTCTGCAGCAGTGTTTTGCAAAATTTTAAAGTATCTGTGTGGTCAAGAGATCCCTTTCTGTGTTTGCCTCAAAACAACTCAAAAGATTAAAGGAACGCCTGTTACAGTTTGTGCAAACGGCCTGAGGTGGACAGAGCAGGGATCGAGCTCCAGGAAGTGTGTGGGGGGGGGGGGGGGGGAGAGAGGGGGCTGGTTTCCCGCGTGTCTTCCCTCAGGGCGCGAAAATCAACTGCCTGGACACAGGCACGGACACTGCGGAGCCCGTCAGGGCACAGCCTTAACCTCTCCAGGTCCCCTGCAAGTGAGTCCCACCTGTGGGAGCAGCCAAGAGACCCTGGCCCCGTAGAAAGGAGCTGTTCTTCAGCCATGTGGTATGTAATTTTTTATATTGGAATCTAGCTGAAAGTTTCTGCTTGCTGATCAAGAAGACATCGCTGGATCTATGGGGTGATGAGACTGTTTTTTGTGTTCTTGGTTTCCCTTCTCTTTTGTATTTTGTACACAAATAAGAACCTGATGCAGTTTTAGGGAAGTTTACAATAAAATTAATTGTTTTGTTTTTCAGTCTCCGGAGGGGCTGTGGTTTCTACTGTGAACCGTGCAGTGTTGTAAAATAACCCCATAAAGTAAATTATAATACAACAAGTCTTGTTCTCAAATCTGCTTCCTTTTACTTTTTCTTTAGATACAGTTAAGTACAATGTTGTTAAAGTTCATGGGGTTATGCTTTCTTAATGCATGTGTTCTGAATTAGACTTGCAATATACTTAGAAATGAAATGGAAATGGATTTATGACTTTGTAATCTGTTATCTAAGTGAAGTAAAGTTGAATTTTTTTTTGTTGATTAACAACTAATCCAGAGCTAAATGCTTTTCTGAGTTCAGCCTTGTTGGACTTGAGAGACAAAGCACTGGTCATAGCCAGCATGGGTTCATGAGGGGAAAGTCCTGCTTAACAAACTTAATTTCCTTTCATGATATCGCCCATCTAGTTAACTAAGGGAAGCCAGCAAATGTGGTGGTTTGGGATTTTAGCAGAGATTTGTATGCTCTCTCTCACAGTATCCTCCTGGATAAAACAGCATACACCTGGACAAGCCATCATACATTGGGTGAGCAACAGGCTGATGAGTTGGGTTCAGTCACAGTAAATGGAATTACATAAGGCTAACAGCTAGTCACCAGTGGGCTTTTAGGGCCTGTGCAATTTAATGTTTTTATAAATCATGCAGATGCAGGAAAAGGCTCTTAACTGAGAGGGTGGTGTGTTACTGGAACAGGCTTTCCAGGGAAGTGGTCATGGCACCAAGCCTGCCAGAGTTCAAGGACCATCTGGGAAACACTTAATCATACGGTTTAGTTGTAGATAGTCTTGCAAGGAGCAGGGAGTTGGATTCAATGATCCTAATGGGTCCTTGCCAACTTGAGATATTCTATAATTCTGTGATTTACATTAGCATGTCTTCCTATATTATACCATGAGTCTTTGAGATTCAACAAGAATATTTACCTACTAAATTTCAGTACCAATATTGGAAGTAAAAATTCTTGCCATCTTTCTTCACATATGATTAGGATGAGAAGGTACTTAAAGGCCCATTTAACTCAGCTTCTGCTGCAAAGTCAAAAGTGTGCTTTGATAAAATGAAAGTCTTTTTTTTTTTTTTTAAAGACTCTGAGACAGGTGTTGTCCCATGGCTGACAGGTCAGTCCTGATAAAGCTAAGCATCTCTAGGGGACAAAAAAGAGCATACAGATCAGTCATTACCCAGAAAAGCTAATGGAATATATCTTAAACTAAAGAAACACAGCAGCTTTACCTTGTGTTTAATGAAACAACCCTTCCATTTTCAACAAATTAAAATATTTTTGAAGGCATGTATATGTATAATTAACCTACACATAAAATATATATAACCACATATATAATTCCATATATTTAGCTGCACAGTGAAACTGCATATTGAAATGTAGCTTTCATTGCAATACTTATGCTCAGTGCTGTAAAAACCAAGATGACATAAACAATCTGCCTCAAGGACAAGAAAATCTAAACGGGTGATTTATCTTCTCTCCCTAGAGCATGACAAGACATACTGTAATCCACAAATAGATTTGTAAATCTTCCAAAACTTTATGCTTATCATGTAATATTAGGAAAAAAGGTCTAATATCATGAACTGATTATAGAGGTATTTGGATAGCTTAGACTACTTCTCCAAATATCACTGGAAATAAATGAAAGCTCCCTTTAGATTCAAAGCGAACTTCAAGCTGTTTAACTGTGTGTACTGGGTCTGGCTTGGATGGAATTAATTTTCTTCCCAGGAGCACACAGGGAGCTGTGTTTTAGATTTGTGACGTATTCAACGTATTCTCTGCTTCTCATTCTGCTGCAACAGAGAGGGTCTGGGCAAGAAGCTGGGAGTGGACACAGTGGCAAAAGCTGACCCAAAGTGATGAAAAGAATATTCTTGACCAAAAGAATATTCTACACTGTAGAACATAATTTTCAGCAATAAAATTGGGGAAATAGTAATTCCAAAACAGCTGTTGTTCAGAAGGTGGGTATTGATCTACCTCTGGGAGAAGGTGAGTGACAAAAGCAATTTTAATTGCTTTGGTTTGTGGCTGGTCTGTCTGTCCCCTGCCCTTCCACCCCCTTTCCTTCACCTGTTTAACTATCTTAATCACTACCTATGAGTTTACAGCTTTTGCTCTTCTTCACACCCTCATCCTGCTGGAGGGATGTGGATGGTGAGTGAGCGAGTGGATGCTTAGTAGCTGGCTGGAGTCAACCAACAAAGTCCTATTTACTTTGTCTAAAGTCATAATTCTGTGCCTCAAACAAGAATTAAGTGGTATGTTCTGTGTGCTGTAATTTTATCACCTTTATCTTGCCTGTCTTCTAACGATGTTAAATGCAGCCAAAGAAACCTACTAGATCAATTGTTAGATGGAAAAAAAATATACCTGCGCATCCAAACTGTCCACTTCTAATGTGGCATGTGGGAGGATTATAGTTTTTGTATCTTGTCTTTTGTGTCTTTTCATGATCGTTCACCTAGAGATGGAAATACAGAAGTCTGCAACTCAGTTGCCTAAACTAAGATGTTTGGAATCATTTGGCATAAGACAAGTCTGGGGGAATGATGTTATTTTCAAACTCATATTGTTTGATTCCCCACTTAGATTTTTGTTTGTTTTTTTTTCTTGCTAGTGCACATCTGCTTTCTTAATCATGTGCGATTTGTTGGGTTCTTTTGCTGCTTTTTAGTTGAAATTTCAAATAAAATGATCTCACTTCATTTTTATTTGGTTTTGTTTTAATTGAGACAAGGGGCCACAAAATGGAATATAGAAACCTTTAGAATTAGTTTTAAGTAATGTTAAGTTTGATGCCTTTGTAATAGCAGCAATGGAAAATTACTGAGGTGCATGATGCGTAGAGAAAAAAGAGTACAGCTAGAGAACATACTGAGAATTCTCACAAAATAAATCGTTATAGTTGACATAGTTTTAAGAAAAACAGTCTAGAAGAACAGGACACAGGGGTAAGGAGTATCTGGGAACCGCAGGTGTCCAGGATGGGCTACAGTTAAACTAACTGATAAGTAGGAAGATAGGAGGATTATTATGTCTCTGGTGCCAATTAAACTGGTATAAGCATCTACTGTGCATGCTTCAAAGGCTGCCAGAAGCGATGAAGATTGCTGGAAGAAGTAAACGACCCTCAGAGACCACCACCACAATTCTGTATGCATGTGGGGAACTTTCTGGAAAATTTTGTAATCCATACATAGCCTCATGAATATGTATGTATGCCCAGTGGCTATAAAAGGATGGTTTGGCTATAAAAGGATGGTTTGTGTGACAATTGAGAGACACATGTTAGGAGGAGCTATCCCCCATGTCTACCAGCGCCGCAATGAAGAATACCTGCTTGTCAGCTTGAAAACTTTGTTGGCAAGTTTGTTCCTGGAGTTTTCTCTGAATCATAATATATAATAATATTCCATAATTTTAGTACCAGAAAAGCATTTATGAATTTTACAATATATAATTTATGAGGTATAAACAAGTAGAATTTGCTAACCGTGCAAAATTCAAGTTTAAAATACCTTGACTCCAGAAATTTAATGACAAGAATAAAATCAACATTAAATCTTTTTAAAATGAACTTCTGGATGTTAGAAGCAAAATTAGCAAGTGACAGAATGCCCATTTTCAGAAGGAACACCGATCTATGGTCTTAATGAGGAACCAGTTTATTCTCAATGATCTAAGTAACAATAAAATCAGGTATAAACCAAAATTAGCAATTAAAGCAAAGCAACAAAAAGCTTCTTTCTCACCTAACAGAATCATGCAGAGTGCTCAAGTGTAGAAGGAACAGATAAAGGTTTTAGTTTGGTTTTGGTGGTTTTTTTTTTGGTTGGTTGTTTTTTTGCTGAGTCTCTTTCTTTATAGATTGCCTGCAATCTCAGAAACTAAACACTGTTGAGTAGATTGGTTTTATTTCTGAGGTGTGGTATTCACTGCAACTGTTGACTGTAGATTACCTCCAGGTCTGCGCTTTTAGTCTTCCTTGTAAGTCATAATGTTCTTTTCAGAGAAGCTAAGTCTTTTTTTTCTTGTCAAACATCAGATCAATCTGAACTACCTGTTTATTTCTCAGTGCTGCTTCTACAGCTGAAATTTCAAACATGCTTCCAGCATGTAGTCAAAGAATACCCATATCATTCTTAGTAATGCTGAAGAGTGCTCCCCAGGAATCCCATCTCTCTATTAGCAATTATAATAACAAGATCCAAATGATGCAATCCTGAAAGCTAAAGTCTGAGAATGGTAGCTTTTAGAATAAGCTGATATATCTGCCAAACAGTTACGGGCTAGAGACCTAAGTTGTTTTTTATGCCAAGGAAGAACAAGAAATAAAAGTCTGTCCAAGAGGCCACTGAGATTTTTTTCATTTTCTGCATTTCTGCAGATTCATGAGACATAATTTCTGAATTCAAAAATATCCTACATATTTCATATGCCTCACTGAATGCAATTGCTGGTGCTGAAATGCTCATGACACTAGCTAAGCATCTGAGCATCTCCCTTTAACCCCTTTATCATTGCCTCATTTATCATGCCTCCTTCCCAAAATTGTGGGCACAACGTGTACCTTCTTCTGCTGCTGATAAAAGAACTGACAGAATTTGAAGAATGCAATATACTAATTCAGCTAGCAGGTAATGTTTTCCAATGGTGTATTATGGGAGATGCTGTGCACAGTACTTTCTGCAGCCCAGTCAAGACAATTCAGTCTTGCTACGTGGCAAAAATAGGTGTATGTCACTGTCTTTCTTGATTGAATCGATTCTACTTGTAGCAGGAAAAAAGTCTACTTGAGAAACCATCTATTCATGTTCAAAACTAGATTTTGATTGGGAAGTCACTTCTACTGAACCTTGCTGGGATGGAGTTAACTGTAAGCGGCGAGGAGAAGCAGACAGGCCAACCCAATATGGGTGATAAGCAACTTCTAGTTTATTTGTGACACAGTTCACACATATATAGGAGTGGTATTCAGCCACTCCTTCTTGGCACAACAGTATTGGTTAGCCCCCCACAGCTTCCTCCACATTCTCCTCCCAGGTCCGGTCTCTGGCTACCTGTGGGGGCCACCCCCTGCCTTGCTTGCACAGTCCTCCAGAACTCTATGGTTCTGCTCTTAGAGTCATTCTGCAACAATTCCCCCCTTTTTCTTTGTGCAAGCAAGGCATTATGGGTTATTCTGTTCACCTGTTTTATCACACAACTATAAACAAGTCTAATAGCTACGATGATTAACCTAACAATGATACATAAGTGCAATACTTCAAACAACAGTGTTTGACTCAACCTGTAATGCCCCGTGAAGGCAACCATCTAGTTATTCCTAGGATATTGCTCATTTACTATTGCTGGGTAAGCTGAGCCAGGGCTCTCAGCTGTGCGTGCATCGAATTAGCATAATCAGAGAGACTCATACAACACATTCCATCAAACTCTTCACATCCATGTCCCTGTTCCAACAACAAAAGGTTCTGCAGTGTTGCATGTCTTACAGAGTCAACATTAAAACAAATCAGGAATTGCCTTCGATGTAGAATTGTCTGCTTAGCAACTCAGCAACCCAGTCTGCTTAGTTGAGCCAAGGCCCCGGCTGAAGCACTTACAGTGATTTGGCATATTATGATTGGATACATGTTCTGAAGACCCTTAGTGACTAACATATAATTGGTTAAACACAGGTGTGAGAACTCAACCTTGAAAGCTTGCCAACAGTCCACAGTTCTCATTAACTTGGTGAATTCCAGCCTCTTATCTTGCTTGCTTAAGCTTCTTCAGGCCTCTCATGGCCTTGCTGTATCTTTCAGGACTATTCAAAGTTTATGTACCAATTATGCATTCTCCTGTGAGAACACTGTCTCCACATCTCCCCCCTTTTGTTTTATCCAGTAACAAGTCGCTACTACATCAAGGCACACACAAATTTACATTAGCAGAGTAACTATTACAGGGTGCAGCAGCATGTTGAAGATGCTGATGGCAGTGAAGGACTAGCCAAAGAAATTTCTTACCAGTGGAATTCTCCCCCCCTCTTAATTTGTTCCATCACCTGCTTTATAACACTACCATTGTATTAAATTTTTTCTAGCTTTTGCCTTAGCATTTTCTAGCAGCTACTACAAATTTCCATACTCTAACATCTCTTTTACAAGTGACAAATCTATACAATACAAGGTGCAGTTTCTTATTAGCAACTAGCTAGTAAATACACAAAATCACAACCTCTAATAATAGCTACTTTACAAGCACACATATTCAGGATGTTACTTTTCAACTGCCCCCAAGTGATGTTTTGCAGTTATTTGTTCTTTCTCTTCCTCTATCTCATTCTGCTTGAGGTAATCACGGTCAGCTCCTGTAGCTGAGGCATCAGGTTTATCCATTCGTCTGTCCAGCTCATGGCAAGGCTTGACAAACTGCAGGCAGTCACCATGGACCTGTAGGCAGGAGGACACAAATATACCCCCTCCCCCAGGTTATCAGTTCTTCAGAAGTAGACAGGTTAGACAGGTTAAAGTTAAATGTAACATCATTACTCTCTCTCCCCCCCCCCCTTTTTTTTTTTTTTTTTGAGTCCCTGCAAAAGCCATCATTACTCCCACTACAGTCCCACGTACAGAACGTGGCACAAGGACCCTGTGGAGACTAACAGCAAACCAGCTCCGAGAAGCATCATTGCAGTGTGAGGTGGCAGGCTCAACCTTAGCAGGCATCCCCGCAGAGGCTCTGCCTCCCCCACATTGTATGAGGCTTGGGCTTTTATACTGACCAAAATGCACACTCATTCCAACACAGGTGGCCAGCCTGTGCTGGAAGAAGTGGCCAGCAGTATCTACAGAGGTCTCCAAGGGTTGACATAAACCTGGACATACTTATATTTACCAACTTCTAATACATGAGTATCACAGAGAAACTGGGCTCTCCCTGTCAATTGCAAGAAAAAATTGTAACAAATACAGCTTGAGTATAAGAGAATTTTAACACATACGTGGTCACTGTTTGTCAGGCCTCCTTAACTATTTTGAGATCAAGAGCTTCCCACTCTTTAGCCCCCTGCTGTGTAGTAAACACAGGATATGCAAAGATGCCCATTGCAGAAAATTCCCCAGTAATGATCACATCTTTGGTTACCCATTGTTACAACTGAGCGTCTCCAGGGCCAGCAAGTCCGAGCAGACCGACCCGGGAGACAAAGAATCAGGGTCTGGAAGCAGAGGACGCAAATCTGGCTCGGATTCAGGGGACTCGGGGGCTGATCCTGCGCCGAACTCGGGGTCTCCATTGCTCGCAGCTGTGTCTTTCTTATCAGATGTCTCCCGTTCGGTATGTGGCCATCTGCAGACCTGGCTCCTCCGTGACTGAGTTAAAAATTTTTTCACTCTAGGGCGTAGTGGGTTGGAGAGGCTCGCGGTTCCTTTAAATCTCCCGCTCGCGCATGATCCCTATTTTCTACTGCGCGCTTCACAGTGGCGCCGCAATCGATCCGGCGCCGAGGCACCGCCCTCTTTCTTTCGGATTCCTTGACTTTTACCATACGTATACCTTCTAATATACTTTCTCTGTCCTTTTCAAAGTCCCTACTTTCGGAACTGGGGTGGTAGGGGAGCAGGGGGTTACACCTCCTCCGCGGCACCTTCTGATGGAGGGGGAGAAAAGGAAGGGGGGGGTGGGAAACCCTGTGCTCTCGCGAGTGGGGGGGGGGGGGGGGGGGGGGGGGGGGGGGGGGGGGGTGGGGGGGAACGAGTTGTAATCTTCCCCCGGTTTCAACCGACCGGGGACGTCTGTTCCTAGTTTCTCCGTTGCTACCGCGGCAGTTTTCTTTTCTGCCTTGTATCTTTTTATACAGTTCATTACTTCCCTCCGTGGTTTACCGAGTTTGCCTTTTTATAATCATTAAGCACTGAGTCAAATAGTTCATCACCAAACTTTCGCCACTCACTCTTCTCAAATATTGTATTAGGATCTGCAAAAAAAAATCTCTTAGCCTTCCCTACAGCCAGTAGACCTGCTAGCTGCTTTAGAGTCTCAGGCTCAATTCCCTGCTTTTATAAAAAGCACTGTAAAAAGTTCAGGGCTCAGTTCCCCGCTTTTATAAAAAGCACTGTAATAAGTCCAGGGCTACCTCTCGGTCCATTTTCATGGCCAGCCTTTTCCGGATCGTCTTCTTCTGGGTCGTCCTGTAACCTCGGTCTCCGGATCGGCCTCCCGACGCAGCAGTGTCTGGTTCACCCCAGCGGCGGATTCTTTCGGTTAGTCCAAGCACCCGGGTCCGTCACGCCACCGCAGCAGCATTGCCCGCGCTTCCCGGCCGCTGCTGCCGGCGCCGCTCACTCGCCGTTCCGGGTCCCCGTCGACCGGGGCCCTGTATCCCGGGTCCCCGCTAGTCAGGGCCCTGTATTCCAGGTCCCCGCTAGTCGGGGCCCTGTATCCGGGTCCCCATCGACCGGGGCCCTGTATCCCGGGTCCCCGTTGACCGGGGCCCTGTATTCCGGGTCCCCGTTAAACCAGGGCCCTGTATTCCGGGTCCCCGTTAAACCGGGGCCCTGTATTCCGGGTCCCCGTCGGCCGGGGCCCTGTATCCGGGTCCCCGCTAGTCGGGGCCCTGTATCCCGGGTCCCCGCTAGTCGGGACCCTGTATCCCGGGTCCCCGTTGGCCGGGGCCCTGTATCCGGGTCCCCGCTAGTCGGGGCCCTGTAATCCGGGTCCCCGCTAGTCGGGGCCCTGTAGTCCGGGTCCCCGCTAGTTGGGGCCCTGTAGTCCGCGTCCCTGTTCGGGCGCCATTTGTAAGCGGCGAGGAGAAGCAGACAGGCCAACCCAATATGGGTGATAAGCAACTTCTAGTTTATTTGTGACGCAGTTCACACATATATAGGAGTGGTATTCAGCCACTCCTTCTTGGCACAACAGTATTGGTTAGCCCCCCACAGCTTCCTCCACATTCTCCTCCCAGGTCCGGTCTCTGGCTACCTGTGGGGGCCACCCCCTGCCTTGCTTGCACAGTCCTCCAGAACTCTATGGTTCTGCTCTTAGAGTCATTCTGCAACAGTTAACTTCATAGCTGCCTGTATGTTGCTATGTTTTGAGTTGCTGGCTACAGTATGGATAACACACCAGTGTTATGGCTATTGCTAAATATTGCTTAAAACAGATCAAGACTTTACGATTTACTTCACTCTTTCATTTACTTTAATTATGATGAAAACCTGGCTGTAAATGTTGAAAATCTTTAGGTGCTTTTCTTCCCTTTTTAAGGAAAGTGTCCATTTCATGCTAGTTACAGCTCTGGTGCCATACATTAAGAGCTTAACGTCACAAAGTTTTCTTACTACTGTGATAATAAGATCATTCAATTCACAAAGGAGCTACCCTTCTGGCAGCCAAGCTGTGTGTGAGAAAACCTAAAGTAAACTTCTCATAAAATAATTTCAGGACAGTGCACATCTGGGAGGCTGTGGAGGAGTTTGGATATAATGTTCGGTGCAAAAAATACCCTATCTCAGGCCAGGTGAACAAATAAGAGTGAGGCTGACTCCAGAGTACTTAGGTTGGAGAAGTCAGAACTGTGATTCCTCTGAGCTCTCCATTCATTTTCTGCTAGACACTAATGCAGATATAATTCCGTGGGCAGTTTCTAGTACTCATGAATGTGAATTTCCTTCATACAGCCAGGCACCATCACTTATTTGTGATAAGGCTTAGCTTTCCAACCTTGTTTTTATTTTCCTGTTTTTCTGTAAAAATTGCCTGTGGTATTGGGAATTTTATTGATCTGAATGTCATTAGAGGCTGACTTGACTTTTTGTTTAAGCAGTTGAGAGTTATAGGCCTGTTTCTTCCATCCAGTTTGCATATAAGGTTTTCTTCATTTTATGGAGTCCAGCAAAATTTGTTAATCAATTGAACAACAAAATGTGAGAAGTGAGCTCTCATAAGAATAATTGAAGATGATGGAAAAGGCAATGTAAGGGTTTGGTAAAACTGAAAACTTGAGTATTGGGCTGTCAGTATTAGCAAACTGACTAGTACTGAGACTGTATTTTTGTTGTTATATATATCTGCATATCATAATTCCTTGTAGATTTTTCATTTCTTAAGGCTCTCTTACATGAACTGTAGCATTCTGTATATTTTTTTTCTGTAAAAACAATACATTTCTTTAATAAAATATCAAGTATAAACATAGAAATGAAAAAAATGTGGGGGGGGGGGGGGGGTGAGAGGAAAGAAAAGAAAAACAGAATATGTGTGTTCTGTGTCAGAAATAAGACCTGGCAGTGTAAAATGTAAACTAAGAAGAGCACAGAGTATATAGACATTGGGTCCTTTGCATAGTCTACTTCTTGTATTCAGCCCCTGCGTAGAAGTGAAGCAACACAGCTGGGAGCCACTGCCTGGAAATAGCCTGTTATCAGAAACCTGGTGTAAGTGACGGAATGTCATAAGCAAGGAGTATGTGGTGTTCATTTTAATGATGATGGCTTGTGTACTGAGAGCATCTGGTGCCTGACAATATCGCTTTGCTTATGTCTCAGTATGTGTGCTTTGTCTTGTTGCTTACTCAGGTGATTTAGTACAACATTAGTGTGGGCTAAATGTCATCAAACAAAAAGGATTGTTAAAGTATTTCAGAAGTAAAAGAGATTTCATTCTCAGTGTTTAAAATACCATTATGCTACACTATATTTCAGACATTGCAGTTGCTCTTTTGTTGCAGTTAAAAATAGGTAAGCTGACAACAGTCTTTCAGATTTTAAAAATACACATATTTTAGTCTATTGAAATTATAGTTCTAAAAGATGTATCACAGTATCACAGTATCACAGTATGCTGGAGATTGGAAGGGACCTCAAAAGATCATCTAGTCCAATCCCCCTGCCAGAGCAGGAACACCTAGATAATGTTACACAGGAATGTGTCCAGGCGGGCTTTGAATGTCTCCAGGGAAGGAGACTCCACAACCTCCCTGGGCAGCCTGTTCCAGTGTTCCGTCACCCTCACTGAGAAGAAGTTCCTTCTCAAGTTTAAGTGGAACCTCTTGTGTTCCAGTTTGTACCCATTACCCCTTGTCCTATCATTGTTTGCCACTGAGTAGAGCCTGGCTCCATCCTCGTGACACTCCCCCTTTATATATTTATAGACACTTATAAGGTCACCCCTCAGTCTCCTCTAAACTATAAAGACCCAGCTCCCTCAGTCTTTCCTCATAAGGGAGATGCTCCACTCCCTTAATCATCTTGGTTGCCCTGCGCTGGACTCTCTCCAGCAGCTCCCTGTCCTTCTTGAACTGAGGGGCCCAGAACTGGACACAATATTCCAGATGGGGTCTCACCAGGGCAGAGTAGAGGGGAAGGAGGACCTCTCTCGACCTACTAACCACCGCCCTTCTAATACATCCCAGGATGCCATTGGCCTTCTTAGCCACAAGGGCACAGTGTTGGCTCATGGTCATCCTGTCGTCCACTAGGACCCCCAGGTCCCTCTCCCCTACACTGCTCTCTAGCAGGTCGTTCCCCAGCCTATACTGGAACCTGGGGTTGTTCCTGCCCAGATGCAGGACTCTACACTTTCCCTTGTTATATTTCATCCCGTTATTCCCTGCCCAACTCTCCAGCCTGTCCAGGTCTCGCTGGATGGCAGCACAGCCTTCTGGCGTGTCAGCCACTCCTCCCAGCTTAGTGTCATCAGCAAACTTGCTTAGTACTCAATTCCCTCATCTAAATCATTGATGAATATATTAAATAATAAGTACTGACCCTTGAGGCACTCCACTAGTTACAGGCCTCCAACTAGACTCAGCCCCATAGACTACATATACTACTAGTATACTCATTAATCATTCCTTTACCATATAAGCAAGCACAAACTTTCAGTTGTTCAGCTTGATTCTCATCAAAGACACTGTCTGCTTGGCAAGGAAATAACTCAAGGAGACATGCAAAGAAAGTGAGTTATAGTTTAACTAAAAAATCCTTACTGTAAACATTATTACAGTTACTATATACAATATAAAAGTACATATTTTATGTTATGAATAAAATGGTATAACTTAACATAGATTATACAATATACACGTTAATTATAAATCTAGTAATATATTAATATATAATATAAAATGGAATTGTAATGTTAGATTGTGTATTATTGTTTTATATATTATCAATTTTATATCATGTAATAAATTACATTATATGAAACATAGTATATCATATAATCTATATATTTATATATAAATCTAGATTTTTTAATACAAATTTTATGTAGGTGTCGTGACTTAAACCCAGTCAGGTAACTTGTTCACTCACTCCCAGTGAGTGGTGCCGAGCTGACAACAATCGAGGGCCGTCCCCCGCCTACCAGGGCTCTCCCCTTCCCCGCTCCCGGAGGAACAGGGAGGAGGATCAAAAGAGTGCAACTCCTACGGGTTGAGACAAGAACAGTCCAGCAACCAATGTACAACACAAATCACCACCGCTACTATCAACTACAACAATGATAAGGGAAAATAACAAGGGAAGAGAATACGATACCACCGGCCAAGAAACGAGTCCCACCCAGAAGCCCGTGTCCTTCCGGGTAACTCCCAGTTACCCCCACCCCGGGCATGACGTGCTGTGGTATGGAATACCTCTTTGGCTAGCCCGGGTCAGGCGCCCCATCTCTGCTTCCTCCCAGCTTCCCCTCCTCCCTGGCAGAGCATGAGCCTCACAAAGTCCTTGGTCAGGGTAAACATCACTTAGCAACAACCGAAAACATCGGTTTCACCAACACTGTTCCCAGGCTGGAAGTCAAAACACAGCACTGCACCAGCTACCACAAAGGAAAAACATGACTGCTACTGCTGAACCCAGGACAGTAGGGTATGGAATAATGATTACTACATACATATACTGCAGCACCAACTGACTGCCCAGTCAATCTCTCAGCAGTGGTCCCCCAGTCCAACCTTTCTACAGCTGAGCATAACACCATATGGTATGGGATATCCCTTTGATCAGTTGGGGTCAGCTGTCCCAGCTGTGTCCCATTCAACTCCGTGTGCACCCTCAGCCTACCCATGGGTGGGGTTCTGTGAGCAGCAGAAAAGGCATTGAAACTGTGCAAGCACTGACCAGCAGTAATGAAAACATCCCTGTGTTATCAACAGTTTCCTGCACAAATCCAAAACATGGCCTCATAGTTAGTATGAAGAAAGTTAACTCTACCATAGCCAATATAATCACATGTTGCCTCCAGCTTAGCACCAGTTTTTGAAGTAATTCTATGATGGGAATCAATTCCTGAGATTCTTTAGGAGGCATGTGGCTTCAAAAGTGAGAACCTTTTCAAAAAGGACATGGACTTCATCTTTATTCCTAGCTCACACAAAAGAAGAGTACGAGTATTCTCTTTTTTCAGCTTCAGCCTAACAAAGAAAAGAAATGAAAAGAATGGAAAGAAACACTTAAAGACATCGGAAGAGGCTGTAAGAATATAGCTTAATTGCCCTCTCCACATGCAGTTGGCTCTTTTAATGAAAAAAAAAAAATCATTATCCTACAGTGAAAGAAATAGGAGTGGCAGGAGGAGGAATCAGCTGAATATGTGCAATGAGCAGAACCTTTGTAATTTGACCTCTCCTAGATCTTGTGAGGACAGTTTCAGCTGCCAGGCAGGCACTCGCTGTCTCTGCTCTACTCTTAGGTATTTTGGGCAAGTTCACAGTAAGGTAGTAGTATTTCTTCCTTCTCTGCTGAAGTGTGTTGCATTACTATGTCTGCCAGTAAATTCACTTCTGCTAAATTCACTTTAGATTTAGACTAGGGATAATCTGTTAGACTATTTATAATGCAGATTTTTGGAAATTCAATTTAGCAACTTGCAGTAAAAAAAATCAATCTATATGTTAGATTAATGTACAAAAGTTCACATTAACTTGTGGCACTTCAAACTTGTTAACTACTACTGTTGTGGCTAGGGTTGCAGATAGCTTACGACGTGCCCTATATGTGAATTTATCTAATTTTTATTTGATTGCTTTTTTGTTTTGGAGACACTAAGTGCATTATGCTAAAATTGCTTCTTAGTCTTATTCTGTAATGACCACCTAAGCTATGTATCAGAGGTGTAATAGGGAAAATTCTACTGTATATACATAGATGTTAGTAGGAAATTCTTTGATTTTTTGTTGGTAATAACAAAGTCTGGATACCCATAACAAGAAAATTGAATCAGTGTGCCTAAAACTGACAGAGGGGTAATAAAGAATCATTTCCTACAGCAATCTCTATTACTAAAGAACAGAAGATAAATATATATTGCAAACTTATTCAGAAGCAAGCCACTTGAAGGGATGCAAAGGTGAAAAACTAATAAGTGCCTGAAGTTTTTTACTTCCTAGATTAACACTTGCAAGATGCAAGATAATTCAGAGAATGGAAATTGTAAAATTGTAAAAGTCAAAACATGTTATCAAAGACATTTATCACTGGCCAGCACATAAATTGCTGACTGCAGGCCATGTTCAGATGAAAGTTCTACAAGTTGAATTTGCAGAAAGTGGAGCTGCCCATAAAATTAAGTAACATCACAAAGCCTAGGAATAGCATATAGCATTTGCTCTTCAGTTTTAGAAGGACAAAAAAAGTGATTAGAATTTCAGGAACCAAAAGTAAGGGTTCAGAACTACATTTCCAGGAAATAAGAGTTCATAACTCACTGCAGTCTATTAAATATACATAAATATACACTAATACAGAATTTATCATGCACTCGTAGCAAATACAGTGATGTTTTAGAACTAGATAAAACAAGATGTGGACAAGGAGAGTAGAAGGTCAAAAACTTTTTCAGAAAAGAAGTACTTTATTTTCTTTCTTCGTATGGTTGAGAGTGTTTGAGTTGTGGATACATCTTTAAGTGTAACCAAAATACAAATAATAAGTTAGAAAAGACAGTAACTAAACATACAGTTACTGCCTCAGGAATAAGATAAATGCTCCAGCAAGCAATATATTCAAGTACAGGAAAAGATTCAGGGATTCAGGTTTTCAGCAATGTATTACTACTTTTCTCAGAGAATAAGCAATTCAAGTGGAATGAATTTTTTCTTGATTGGAACTGCATTTTCAATTTATTCAAACAAATTTCATGTTCAATAACTAAAACCTTTTTTATTCTTGTTGCCCTTTTTTTTCTTTATTTTTAATGAAAAAAAAAACAATGAAAAGAAGTAGCCTCTTGAGCTTTTAGAAGGGAAAAGAAGGGGGCCAGGGGCCTGGCATTTTTTTGTTTCAGAAGTTTTTAAGATTAGATACTGTTTTGCCATTCAGCATATCAAGAGACATAACAGTGGCACTCTCTAATTAAAAAGCAATTAAATTTTATATTCAGATATTTTGATGATATATCACAATGAAATATCTTTTTTATGTGCACAACCAGAATTTTATGCTTAGTGGTTTAATTGCAAAATAGAAAAGGAGACCCCCAAGAGACATTTTGTCTTCATCAGAAAGTATGCTCACATCTATGCTGGCTTTGGCTTAATATCTTTCTTAGTGGTACAAAATCTTTGTTATTAATTCTGTTCTTTTTTCTCACTATTTTAAACAACTTATGTTGACAGTAGTTATGAAATCTGTACACCGACATCATTGCATCAAGATAATAGTATTCATTTTCTTTATTTGATTGGTATTTGGTATAATCACATTCTTTTTTGATGACTCTTACCTGGAAATCGCTGTAGTCTTTAGAATTGGAAAGACTGTAGGAAAAGAGAAATTACCATGTCCATGCTCAACTTTTTCCACTTTTCAATTTTTCTGCTTTTTACTCCTCTGAGTAATTTGTTCTGTTTCTATTCCTGTTCTAGGAAATTAGTGCCAGTAAACTGCCCATTGTAGGACTCTAAATGTCGTTCCATGGAATGACTTTATAATACTCTTTTAAATGTCTGGTTTTATACTTGATCTCCTGCCCTCTCAATATAGGTTAAGTGCAATTCCTTTCCCAAATTTTTATTGATGATAGTGGAATTGAACCAGACTCTAGTGTCCTGAATCCCAATTACGGTGCAGGCAGATTTAAATTTCGGTTACCACAGAATGTCATACTGCTGCAAATTTAACTGTTTTACCTCTGATTAATTGTATATTTGACCTTGTAATATGTCATACTCAGCTCTCTCAGTCTCATATGGGATACTAAGTCCTCTAAGAAAACCAGTACGTATTACAAATAACAGATTGTAAGTCTTCTCTTGAAGTTAAAGCCATGACTATGTAAGCTAAGTTCAAAAAGTTTCCAAGAAGCTTGATTTATCTATGACATGCTGGCAAAGATTTCAGTTGAATTTGAAAACACTGACAACGTATGAGTTATCACCTGTACTTGATAGTTTATCATCTGTACTCAATAGTCAGATTAATAGCATGCCAATTGAAAAATCTAACTGAAGGTTTAGTAATAGAGTTCTCTTTGTAGATCTGGTGGTATCCCCCATCCCCATCCATTGGGGGATGAAACAAAATAATTTGCATGTTATTTTTTATTAATTGTTGAATTATTTGCAGATTAACGCCCCTCTTCTATCTTCCAAAGAATTACTATAAATTTCACCTTCTCTATGATAATTAATCAATTTTGATGGCTAAATGTTTAAAAAAATTTCTCAGGCAAATTGGTAGGTTCAATTTGGAAAGTAATATACTGAACGCTGAGTAAATTGGAGCTAAATTTCTGCCACTAATGCAAAGATTTGTGTTCTTGAGAAGTTATCATGTTTTGTCCCATGAAGTTACTTGCTCAACTTAATTTTACAGTAAAAACCAAAGTGGAGACAGTGACAAGTCATGATATTCACTAGCTGAGAGTCAGTGTATGCGGAAGGTGAGTGTCTGCTCCTTTAAGAGTATCTGGACACAGGAGATGCAAACCAGAGTGTATGGATCTGACTAACACAT